CTTTTTAATCACACTTTTTAAATAAGTGTGATTATATATATATTTTTTAACCACACATTCTAATTAAAGTGTGATTATTTATATATTACTACTTTTTAACTTTTAATTAAAGTGTGATTATATATACACTACACTAATTAGTGTTACCACTAACGATGTGGCAGTGGATCCCACCATGAATGATTTGATGTTTTGACTTTGGTGTTATATTTTTTTTCTTTTTTTATTGAGTGACATGTCATTAGTGATCTTTTTAGAGCTCAAGGTAGATCTTAATATCAAGAATCCAAGAGAAATAATTTTTTCTAAAAACGTCAAGAGTTGAGAATTCCAATTTTGAAAGATTTGACATATTTATGCACTCAATACAATCAAAATAAAATATTAGTATCACGTGAAAACAAAGAACTTATTTATACTTATCTTAACCGCTCAGTAATTTTTACTTCTCAACTGGCTAGAATATTGTACTGATAACGCGTTATAAAATTAAAGCGATAAAAGAGAACATGAGAGTTAAAGAGAATACTAAAAAATTAGCGTGTTCTTATTCCGGTTATTAGCCTAGGTCTTATCAATAAAATTAATATTCAAAAATGGCATTCAAAAATCAAATTAGTTGTCAATGATTTTGAGTTAGAAGTCATTGCATTAATAGATACAGGTGCTGATCTTAATTGTATTCAAGAAGGCTTACTTCCTACAAAATATTATCATAAAATAGGTGAACAATTAGGTGCCGTTTGGTAACACTTACGTTTTCAGTTTATATTTACAAAAATTTTAAAAACTCAAATCAAAACTTGTTTGGTAAATTTTTGATTTATAAATCAGTGGTCTCAATTTATAAATTTGGTCAAAAAATATAAACTCAAAAAATGTGTTTCCGTTTTGAGTTTTCAATTTTTTTTTTTTACCACCCAACACTAGCCACCATCCGCCACCATTTTTCACCACCGTCTTCCGCTACCACCACCCACCCCCCACCGCCACCCACCTACCACCACCACCCACCACCCGCCACCTACCCGCCACCACCATCACCCACTCACTACCACTCACCACCCGCCACTATCACCCACCACCCACCATCACTACTTTTCACCACTGTCTTCCGTCGCCACTTGCCATTTCTTACTCTTTTTTATATTTTCAAAATTTTTAAACATTTTGTTAATTCCCAATCATTTTGCCACTCCGCCTCTACGACTATCATTACTACCACCATCACCACCACTCCACTACCACCATTACTACTACCATTACCTCTCATCCACCACCGCTATTCTATCTCCTATACCACTACCACAACTTCACCACTAATCTCATTCGCTATCACCACCACCACCACTATCACCTCTTATCCACCACCTTCACCACTACTGCTGCACCCTATCCTCTACCACAAAAAATTAGTTCCTGATTTTTAGTAACAAACAAAAAAAATGGGTCGTAGAAAAATATTTTTCATTGATGACAAAAAATTAACTTTATTTTAATGGAAAACATTTTTTATTCAAAATGAAAAAATAATAATAATAATTTTTTATTCATTAAAATAAAAATGAAACAAATAAATTTTCAACCTTAATAACTAAAAGAAAACGAAAAATAAAAAAACAAAAATTTCATTAACTATAAAAAAAAGTCTTTTCTCTTTCTCTCTCTCACTCATCACTCTTCTCTATCTATCTGTCTGTCTCTCTTTCTCTCTATGTCTCTCGTCCATCTCTCTTCTCTTTATCTCTCTCTGTCTTTCTCTCGTTTATATCTTTTCGCTCTTTTTCTCTATTTTTCTTTGTCTATCTCTTTTCACCCATTGTTTCATCTTCTTCTCTCTCTTCTCTTTCTCTCTATTACTCATCACTCTTCTCTCTCTGTCTGTCTGTCTATCTGTCTCTCTCCCTTCTCTCTCTGTGTGTCTCTCACTCATCTATCTCTTCTCTCATACCTTTTCTCTCTCTATCTCTTTCGCTTATCTCTCTTCTCTCCATCTCTTTCGCTCATCTCTCTTCTCTCTCTGTCTCTCTCGCTCATCTCTCTTCTCTCTGTCTTTTTTTCTATGTCCTACTCTCTATCTCTCTCTCTCACTCATCACTCTTCTCTGTCTGTCTGTCTGTCTTTGTCTCTGTCTCTGTCTCTTTCTCACAGACAGTGATGGGAAAAGTCAAAGCGTTAAACTTCAAAGCTATCCCCATTTTTTTCATCCATTTTCTTCATCTCTCGCTTCTATTTCTCGCTCTTACTCATCACTCTTCACTCTTTGTCTGTCTGTATATTTGTCTATTTCTCTCTCTATGTTTCTCACTCATCTATCTCTTCTCTCATCTCTTTTCTTTCTCTGTCTTTGTCGTTCATCTCTCTTATCTTTATCTCTCTCATTCATCTCTCTTCTCTTTATCTCTCTCATCTCTCATCTTTCTCTGTTTTTCTCGCTCATCTCTCTTCTTTCTATCTTTCTCTCTGTCTCTCTTGTTCATCTCTTTTCTCTTTATGTCCCTCTCGTTCATCTCTCTTCTCTTTATCTCTCTCTGTCTCTCTCATCCATCTCTCTTCTCTCTCTGTCTCTTTTCTGTCTCTCACTCTCTATCTCTTTCTTTTTCTCTCTCTCTTTCTCACTATGTTTGCGTTACTCACTCTCTCCCTCCCGTATTCTCTATTTACTGAGCTCCCTTTTGATTTATCAATCCACTACAAGAAAATGCACTTTTAGCGACCACTTTGTCTCTCTCTTGCTCATCACTCTGTTTCTCTTTCTCTCTCTCTCTCCTCTATCTGTCTTGCACTCATCTCTCTCTCTCACCACCCACCTCTTCTACCACATTCACCACTACTGCAAACGCCATTCCACCATCACCACTACTTCCACTGTCGCCACTTTACCTCTATGACTACCATGACTACTACCATCGCCACCACTCCACTATCACTACCACTACCACCACTGCTACCACCACCACCACCACCACCACCACTACTACTACTACTATTACTACTATTACCTCTCATCTACCGCCGCCATTCCGTCTCCCATACCACTACCATAACTTCATCACTAATCTCTTTCGCCACCACTACCACCTCTTATCCACCACCTTTACCACTACTGTCGCTCCCTCTCCTGTACTACAAAAAATTTGTTTGATTATGATTTTTTAATAGAGTGTTGAATTGTATGTGGAATTGAGTTTTGAAAGTTTGATGTGACATGTGAAATAAGAAATTTTGTTTGGCGATGAGTTTTCAAAACTTAATTCAACCTATAATTGATAATCAAACACACAACTCATAACTCGATATCCGTATTTTTGATCAACAGTCATAACCAAACTATTTTTAAAATACTCAAATAAAAAAATATTTTTTTTTCAATTAATTGTTTTTAAGTAATTTTTTTTGAATATTTTTTTTTTCAAATCATTTTTTTTTTCAAACAACTTCTATGTCAATTATTTTCTATCAATTAATTTTTTTGCCAATTAATTTTTTAAACCTGTATAAATATTAGAAATATTAAAAAAATTAAAATATTAAAAATATTTTAAAAATTAAATATTAAAAATATTCCAAAAATCAAAATATTAAAAATATCCCGAAAATCTAAACCAAACAAAACCTTAAGTTCCCTCCCTTTTTTTCCGTCTTTCCCACCTTTTTTTTCATTTCCTTTCAAGTTTGTAGAGCCTAAGTTTCGAAACAACACTGTCTCTCTCTCTCTCTCTCTCTCTCACTCACGGAGGCGAGCGGCGATCTCACTACTTTTCTGTTCTTGGGTTTGATCTTTAATCCTTATATAAATTCCTTAAACCCTTTTTCACTGTTCTGTAGCTGATCTCACTACTTCACTGTTCTTGAGTTTGATCTAATATCTGGTGTTCCTAGAGTGACGAAGACAGAGAGGTTGGGTACATTCAGGGCTATCTTCACAACCCTAGCTACAATGATGTTTGTTCTGGGACCACGAATCACTCGGAGGTCGTTAGGGTTCAGTATGATCCCACAGAGTGTAGTTACGAGTCCTTGCTTGATGTTTTTTGGGCCAGACACGACCCTACTTCGCTTAATCGTTAGGTGGGTATGTTTAATTTTGGGTTTTAATCGATGAATTTGTGATTTGGTTGTTGAATTTTGATGGGTTTTGGTTGAATTGCTATGAAATTGAGTTGAATTGGTGTTTGATTCTTGTATCTCTGCTTATATGGTGAATTGGCGATTGTTTCGTGGGTGAACACACACGCTCAAATTAATGGCTTATTGGTTTCCCAATTGTTAGGATAAGGATTATTCATTGTATTTTGTAGCTAGATGCTTGAATTTTGGGGGCTTTTGATGGACAATGACAGGGTTTGATTTTTTTATGGCTTTTTGTTGATTTCATATGGAGAAAGAGTATTTTTTTAAGGACTTGGTTGTACTCAGTGCGTGTGTTCATTATTGATTTCATATGGAGAAATTTTGTTTTATTTTATTTTAAATGTTTTCATGATGCAGTCTGTGGTGGCATAATTACATAAAAGAATCCATTTGTTAAGTGATTTTTTCACATTTCATCAACATTATGTTCTAATTTGTTATATCTTCATGCATTTTAACAGAATGAGCTCAAGGCCAGGTGGGATGTAGACAAGTCAATGCTAGAAGAATCAAAGAATGTAGCTGAGAATAAGTACAATGAAATTAATGAACAGGTCATTGATTGATTTGCTTCATGAATATGCTTATGATGTCCAGTAGACTCTTTTATGCACATCACATATCACATATTTATGTACATAACTGTATGCATGTATATTTAGTCAATGCCATAAATCAATTAAAATAAGTATGAAAACGTATCCAAACTCCTCTTCATTTGGCTAGAAGTTGTGCAAGAGCAATGCATGTCATTATAATGAAATGGAAGGTACAATTTTTTTTTTTTAAAAAAAGAGTGTATATATACATGTATGTGCTGATGTATGTATGAATTTCAAAGCAGAAAATGTTTTATTGTTCATATTTGTGCAGGTTTCTTTAAACAGTTTGGAACCATCAAGAAACTTAGACTTGCCAAGAATAAGAAGGTTGGGGTCTTAATATTATTATTGCTTCTAATTATTGTTATATATATATATAATTTAACTAAGCATTTGTGAATACAAAGCTAAATTTGAAGATTTGTTTAATTATAATGTTTGTTTGTTTAATCATTATCTAAGAAGAATGGACATTTCTAAGATTTTTAACCATGTCGGACGCATCCACTCACTGCAAGTCTCCTATTTAATTTTTTAAACTATGCATGCTTTATACATTTGGAGGACACATGCTTAGATACAAATAAAGCATATTATCAGTTTGAAGAAAACAACTTGGATCCAATAATAAAAATAAAAAAACAATATTGTTTTATTCCCATTAATCTCTCATCCTTTAGAATTTTTAAGTTTAGGAATTATAAAGGCCATATTGTTTATGAATAGAGCTTTCTAAAATAGATATTATGGCCTTTTGTACAATGTAGAAAATGCTTCCTTACTATTTCGATATAATATAAATGTATTTGCAATGTAAAAAATTGAGAGAATAATTATTATTTTAACGTATACATAAAAATGTATATTTATTTGTTAACTTGTCTCTAAAATTGTATGAAAAGAATGGAAATTACTGATATTTCTCCAAAATGACAAGGGAGGTAGGGGAGTTTCATACATTAAAAGGTAAAAAAACAACAATGAATTGTCTCCAATGTATTGCTAAAAGGATTGCTCTTCTTTATAATAATAATACAAGTTATATTATCATTATTAATTCCTTTTGATTTTTTATGGTGTTATTGTTGTGACTAGAGCACTCATGTTTTGTGTTAGGTACGTATTTCTCTCTTTTAGTTTCAGTCTCTTAATTGCTAACTGTTTTTTATTGTTTATATGATTTGATGTTTCGTAGACAGGAAAATCCAAGCACTTTGGCTTCATTGAATTTGAGTCCCCTGAGGTTGTACTTACCTCAAAGAAAAAATTCATGTGGATACTTGCTATTTAGTAATGTGTCTTATCGTTGGTTTTTAATTAGTGCAGGTTGCAAAAATTGTATCTGAATGTATGCATAATTATCTTATGTTTGAGCACATGTTTCAAGTCCATCTTATTCCTCCTGAGCGTGTTCATCCAAAGTTGTAAGCAATTTTCTATTCCTGATTGTTATCGTTTAATTGTTTGAGACCTGCCTCATATGAATTCTAACTTATCATCTACTGTATGGAAAAATATGATATTACCATGTTCTTTTAAAAGTTGGGTTGGGTGTTTCCTCAGAAGCAGTTGCAGTTGCAGTTTGTTAGATTGTGGTTTCCCATAATAATCGTAGAAAATGATAAGATTTTCAAGAAAAAGAAAACAACAGAAGGAATCAAATCAAGTAAATAAATAGAGGAGATAAATAAAATTGTTCTGTGTAAAATTATTTAGTTTCTGTGACACCAATGAATTGCTGATGGTTTTACTTTATTTTTAAGGTGGAAAGGCCCTAGCCGATGGCATAAGCCAGTGGACTGGGTTCAAATTGAAAGGAAGCGACATGACAAGGTGTGTGAATATAGATACAGACATCTGGAAATCATTCTTGGATGCTTATGAGGCAAATTTAGAAAACCTGTCATTCACTATTGATCTTGATGTGGTTATTTTTGAAGAGATAGTAACTATTTACTTGTGATGATTATTCAGGAAAGAACATTGGAAGAGCACAAGAAGCTGGTGGGAGAAATCCTAAAACGTGACCAAAAAAAGCGTAAGAAGATTGAAGCTGCTGGTATTGATTATGAGTGCCCGCCCTGAAATTGTAAGAATCTAATTCTTGCCATTTTTTTGTTCTTCAATGCTCTTGCAATTGTTATAAAAATATAGGGAACTACTTTAAAAAATTCAGGCTTGAATTTAAGGGATAATTTATGCTTTTCTGCTAATCCAAAATTTGGAGGCATGGGCCAGCGTTTTTTGACAAGCAAAGTTGCGAATTCCTATTGTCTTGAGTCCTAGGGTTCTCTGGATGGGAAGACTTGGACAAACTTGAGAGTGCACGAGAATGACCAGACAATGTGCAAACCGGGTCAGTTTGCTTCATGGCCAATAATAGGTCCCAATGCTCTGCTTCCCTTCAGATTCTTTAGGGGTTATATTTGACTGCTCCCACAACCGATGATTCTAATCCATGGAACTTTTGCATTTGCTTCTTGGAGCTCTATGGTATGGTTACTTCCACTAAGTTGATTGTGTAACGAATGATCCGACTAGTCGTTTGGCCCATCGCAACCCCATTATGTACAGTTTCTGCTCGTGAGAAATAAAAGTGATGCTTGGCTCTGAAGCCTATCCCACAACTCTCTGTCGTGGCTTGAAACATGCTGCTAAGAGGTTCATTCTTCACATTATGGCACAACTTAGAACACTTCTAGGACTATGTTTGGATTAAGGATTTGAGAATTGATATCCTTCCTATTTTCTTTCCTTTTGCATGTCATTCCTCAAATCTTTGATCCAAACAAAGCCTCAGACAATTTTCCTAGAAAAACATCATATGTGAATTGAATTTATTATGTGTGAGTTACACTATACAAATTTAAATCTATGTTATATATTAAAATTTTACAAACTTTTTAAAAATAAAAATATGAGTACATAGCACTAGTTAAAAAAAAAAAAATTCTGAATCATGTGCATTCCACTATGATGAGATCGTCCTCTTTTAATTTGGACTTTGGTGGATTGAACATTCAAATTATCCATATTATATATAAGGAAAATTATATAAATAGAAGTTGCTTTAGTAAATTACCTATTGCAATGAGATGGTTGGAAAGTAACCCCATTTTGGTAGATTCCTTTCCATGAATTGGGAATTGGGTGGCATCCCCTCTTGATGCTTTCTTAATATACTTTCGGGAAAAAAAAAATTATTAGCTTCCAGTTTTAATGATTTTGTAATTTACCTTATTGTATATGGTGACCATCTTTTCTTTTTGGCCTTGTCAATTGTACTTTATTGTAAGGATGTGTGAGTTTGTTATGCACTTCTGTGTCATATGTTGTAAGTTGTTACAAGTGTTGTACTTCCATTTTTCCTCCTCAATTGTGTCTTCTCTTTGTATTTTTTTGGGCATTACAACCCTCTTTCTTCTGCATTGTTAGGTGAGGAACATTATTTGCTCTAACTAGTGATAGACTGAACTGTTGATTATTAATATGTGCAATGGCTTGTTGAGTACAATGCGGCTTTGGCATCCATCTGCTTCATGATTTTGCTTGGATTTGTAGATGATGTCCTCGATGTCCCTTGGAGAGTGAGTATTCCAATCATATTTTTTGGATTTATCGGCCCATTTATTTCAAGAGCACTATTTTCTCTTTGCATTACTGCATTCAAAGTTAATGCTAAACTAGGTCTTTCTGACTATGAAGAACAGGAAATTATTATTGCCATCAATTGCTGCTCTTCCTCTGTTGATGGCCTATGCTAGACATCCAACTATAGTTATACCAAAGCATCTCATTCCCTATCTTGGGCTTGAGGTTTTGGATCTAGGTAAACCTAAAGCATTGATTATGATTTTAGAGACCTTTCCGAAATTTTTTTTTTTGATAAACCCAGATCCATGTCCCCAATTTCTTCTACTACAACTTTCATTTTGAATCGTTCATGTTTTTATCAATTTCACCATCATTTCACTTTCTCATCAACATCACTTGTCATCTCTACCTCACTAATTTCTTGCATTAATTTCAAGAAACAGGGCATTACTCTAAATTGGGTGAAAAACTCATCACCCTCTTTCCAAAATTTCTTGATTCTAAGTAATTATTTTATATGTGCCAAACAGTCTTCTAACCCAACAACATCAACTTCCTACTTCTCACGTATGAGAGGTTAAGGGTTCGACTTTCGTTACAGACAAGGCTGTGTGGCACCATTCTTTTATTATCACTATGTTGCACTCTTCCCAGGGAATTTCAGACAAAATAGTATTTGAGTTCTATGTGCAAAATTTACTCTTTCTATTAGATTGAAGGCATTGTATGACAAATTTAATTCTAGAATTGAATATAAGACTCACCTTGTTTTTGTCTCATTGTTAAATTGTGAACAAATAATATTTCTATGTACTCTCGGCCTCAATTCATCATATTTACAAGTAGAAAGAGAACTTGTAATTTAAGTTGCCAATGATTGAGGAAAACATTGTTGGTAGAGCTAGTTATCTTCTGCTCTTCATGTTTATGCAATCTATAATTATTTTGTTTGTCAGGTATTTGTGCTCAATTTAATTGAATTACTTGATGCAGGTTTTGGTTGTAGGTGGTGGTGGTGGATTTCTTAGGGAAATCTCTCGCCACAATATTGTTATATAATTCCGAACGCCATAATTAAGTGATCCCATAGTTAACTTTGAAGTTGCTCTTAAGGTAATTGAAACTCTTGTTGCAAATCACTGATCTGCCATAGAGGTAGGTCACTGACATAGTTTTATTTTGATTATTTTAAGTTAAACTAACACATTTAAGTGTATTAAATTTTCAAGTCAAGTTTGATATGTATTTTTGCAGATTTTGTTGAGGGAATAGTTGATATGATCAAGCGGTTGATGTTGGGAGCCAAAGATTATGTTGCTCTTCTTTTTTTTTTTTTTTTTGAAGACTTGAATTTTTTAGTACAGTGTATTTAAAGATGGTTAATGCATAATGTCTATTATAAATTTAATTAATTTGTTAATTTTGTTATTTTTCATTTACAAAAAATTGTTTGGTGCTTGTAATTGATTTTTTTGTTGTAGCAAACCCATATATGATTTTTTTTAATAAATAATTATTTGCGACAGTAAAACAATGGTCGCTAAAAGTGTTTTTTATTTTTTTATTTTTTTTGCGACGGCAAAATAGCTGTCGCAAAAAGTAGTTTAGGCGGTCGTAAATAATTTGCAACCCCCACATTTGCGTCCCCCATGTGCAGTCGTATAGGCTATTGCAAAAAGTCTTTTGCGACTGTATTTTTATTATTTGCGACGGCATGTAACGGTCGCAAAAAATATTTTTTTTAGTAGTGAATGTTATTAATCACACTTAAAAGATGTGATGTAAATATTTTTAATCACACTTAAAAGGTGTGATCTAAATGTTATTAATCACACTTAAAAAATGTGATTAAAAATGATCCTTTTTAATCACACTTCCAAAGATCACACTTAAAAGGTGTGATCTAAATACTTTTAATCACACTTAAAAGATGTGATCTAAATATTTTTAATCACACTTAAAAAGTGTGATTAAAAATGACCACTTTTAATCACACTCCCAAAGATCACACTTTAATAAAACTTAAAAGGTGTGATTAAATAACATACATCACACAAAAAAAGTGTGATCTTTATCTGTTTTTGTAGTAGTGTCAATGTGTGCCCGGCCAGGACCGCCTATGCCATATGTTTGAGGCCAGCTGACTTTACGCCCATAACCCAAGCTGTCTAAGCCTATGACAACACTAGTCGGGATGTTATGGGGACATTCAAAAGCCAACAACATGAGGTAGAATTCCATGTAATGGATATACCGACAACCTTTAACTTACTCATAGGAAGGCTTTGGCTGCATCAGATGAAAGCGGTGTCATCAACGGTTCACTAGTTGGTGAAGTACCCCTTTAAAGGTGGGATTACTGCTGTGTATGGAAATTCTGCAATCCATCCTCCCCAGGGCATTACCACACCAGCGTTGGAAATCATACATGGAGAAGAGGACGTGCTCCTCTCTAGCTTCTCTCTGGCAGAGGCTGGGTTGGTCCAAACTATCATGGTAGAGGACGATGAGAATTACGTGAGCGCTTAGTCTATCTACATAATGAACAAACAAGGAAATATTCCTAGATCAGGACTAGGCAGAAGTGGTCCTTAGGGAGTTACTGTTGCCAAGGAGATGAGTCATAACCCCCACGTTTTTGGGCTAGGATACAAACCTACCGCTACTGATTGACAAAGAAATGGGGAGGAGTTGAGAGGAAGGCTGAAAGCAAAGAGGATTGGGAGGCAGTATGAGTTAGTCCACAAACCAATACAGGGAACCCTCAATGGACGCTTTGTCCACTAAGGGGAAGATTTCTCCTTTTATGGATTTCCAGAGCCTTGGTTTGACAAGGAAACAAAGATCAGGTACCCGGGGTTTGAGATCTTCTTCGGACACCTGGAAGAGAAGGATGAGCAGACGGACCTGAGCACCCATACAGATCAAAACAAGACTACAAGCCTGGATATTGAAGAAGAAGAGCTGTTGGGAAAAGCACTAGCTGACCTACTGGTAAGTTCTACTGCTGGAGCTGAGTCCGCCAACTTGGGGGAGAGTTTTACTATTTCAATGATTAGGGATGCATCGGCAACAAATTTCACTAGTCTCATCGTGGATGCATCTGAGGCTCCACGCCTGGTTTGGAAGTTTGAGCAGGGCGCCATCAGTAGTTCTAAATTGGATAGATAGTCCGAATCTGATTCCACTGAGTTTGTGGAGTCGGAGTTAGATTCTAGTTCCTCTAAGTCTGGTATTTCCAGGAATGGTAACCCGGATACCAAAATCCTGTCTAGGTCGTCTTTCAGCTTTTCCTTTGAGTCCACTGTAACCGAAGATCCAAACTTTTTGAATGGGAATTCTGTGGACTTTGCTTACTTCTCTATGCCTTTGGTTTATTGTACTGATCTTGATTTTCAAAATTTTGACTTAAATGAAGAGAAAGAAATTCCTCAGGTTTTAAAAAATTTGGTTGATCATGAGGAGGAGAGGCATGTTAAGTCCTGTATAGATGAAATCGTATCAATTAATGTAGGTACCGAGAAGGATCCCTTCTTGGTCCAGATCGGGTCCACATTGTCTTCGGAGGAACACGAACGTTTAATCGCTTTATTAAAAAATTTTAAAGATGTTTTCGTGTGGTTCTACGAAGACATGCTTGAAATCGATCATGAGATTGTACAAAACCAGATCCCTCTTGACCCTGAGGCCCAACCAGTTAAGCAGAAGCTGCGCAGAGTCCGCCCGGATTGGGCTTTAAAAATTAAGGAAGAGGTCACCAAACAGATTAAGGTAGGGTTCTTACTTGTATCTAAGTATCTAACGTGGTTGGTCAATATTGTACCCGTTTCGAAGAAGGATAGTAGAATCAGAGTTTGTGTCGACTTCAAGGATCTACATAAGGCTAGTCCAAAGGATGACTTCCCTTTACCACACATAGATGAGTTGGTAGACTTCATCGCCGGCCACGCGCTGTTATCATTCATGGATGGATTTTCTGGGGTATAACCAGATTCTGATGGCACCCAAGGATAGGGAGAAGACCACTTTCACTACTCCGTGGGGCATCTACTGCTACCGAGTCATGCCATTTGGGTTAAAGAATGCTGGGGCTACCTACCAGAGGCCACCATTTTGCATGACATGATCCACAAAGAAGTTGAGGTGTACGTGGACGACATAATTGTTACGTCCAAAGAGCGAGAAGGCCATTACACTGCACTGGAGA